AAAAGGATGGAGCTAGACTGTTCTCAGTGGTGGCAGATGACAAAATGAGGTGCTATGGCCTCAAGCTGCAGCAAGGAAAGTTTAGGTTAGATATGAGGAAAAGTTCTCTCACAAGGAAGGTAATAAAGCACTGAAACAGGTTACCCAGAGTGGTTGTGAAATAAAAACGTCCAAGGATGGTTAAGACCTCCAAGGCTAGACAAAACCTTGACTGGGATGATCTGGGTTGGGGATGGTTCTGCTTTGAGCAGGGGTTTGGACTAGATGACCTCCTGAGGTCCCTTCCAACCCTAATTTTCTATGATTCTATATACAAAATTTAATTACAAGTATTTTTTTCTAGCTTTTATGGGAGTCATTTCTCAAATAACATTTGCAACTGTTCGCATAGAACCAGCTTGAATAAAAGATCAAAGCTGTCTCTTAGTATGAACCTGTTTTCATCTCCTGTAAATTATTTGAAACTGATTTGAGTTATTCACTGCATTAATTTGAGGGGGTTAAGGTAACTGATTATATTATTAAAATCTTTCTGGATGAAAAAAATGATTAATTCAAAATTCAGAAGTTTAATCTCTTTCTAATAGCAAACAAGGGATTTAGCTGAAAATACTGTAAATTCACAGAAGGCTGACAAAATAAAAGTTTCCAGAATAAAAGTATTTAAAATTCTTGTCTTTTCAGATGATATATTCTGCATAGTACAGATATGGTGGAAAAAGGAAAAACATTATCAATGTGAAACAATGGGAAATTAGGATTAGGGTCAGAAAACTACCCTGCAATTCAAGATTTTACACCAGGTACATCTGGCACTCTTGATTTCAAGCTCCATTTTCCAAAATTACCTCAAAAGGGATATATTTAATTGAAAAGATACATAAGCTTCATAACTAAAAGGACATTCAGAAGGGCGTATTGATCTAAAGAACTTGGAAGTCTGTCAGTGCAACTGTTTTGATACTTGCCAATATGCTTTACATATTGATGTAAGGATAACTAAGGAGATATAAACATATCATATTTCAAAGTAGACTGATGCCACAGCAGTATAAAAATTAATGCTACATACTTCCCCTCTGTCTTAGCATTTCACTGACCGCTTACAGCTTTTAAAATAATGGTTTTCACACACTGATCATGTGCTGCAAAAGGAGGAATGTGCAATATATACAATTTATTATATGGATTGGAAAACTAAACATTTGGTTGCATCTCATAAAAGAAACACATGTTCACCAGACCCATTTGACATTTTCACACATATCTCAAATAATGGTTCTCTTCAAGTTGCTCATGATTTCAGTCTAAATTTAGTTAACTATTAGGTCCTGCAATCGCAGAACTAAAATTAATCAGAATCCCATTTACCTTCTGAAGAGCACTCAAAAGTCTATGATTTTAAATTAATTTATGCAAAGAGAAAAGCTCTTACATTTCATAAGTATACTTTCAAGCTACATAAATCGAAACTAAAGCTTTAAACCCTTAATGACCCCTTTTCTATCCAGTCTTAAAATGGAATAATTAAGCGATAACTTCCATTCCATCTAAGTACATGCAGCAATGACAGGGTCCATGCTTCCTGAGTAAACCTCGAAGTGCACAATTGACCTGTAGGAACTGATTATTTGTAAGTAAAGTCTTTTGGCATAAAAGCCATTCGTATTTTGCTGGAAGAATTTTTTTTCCAGGTAATTAACAGTTTTTGGTAATTAAAAAAAAATTATACAAAACCATTCAGTAGGAAGACACTTAAACTGTGGTGAGCAACCCTGCTACTGATTTGGAAATGTTTATAAAATCTATGCATGGACTCACTGAAGATATTAATTTGGCTCTGGGAGTAACTGGACAAAATTAAGTTATCATCTAAGGGCTCTATTTAGATCTCACATTCTACTGTTCTTAGAAGTTGGTATAATATGAACAGAGAAGTAGTATAAAATATCAAGTTCATATTATTCTGATAGTCATTTTTTACACTATGGTGATAATACTGAGAAATTAGCCAGATAAACTGGGTAGACCAATGAAATTCTTACAGTAGAAAATATAAGCCATTTCAACCGTCTTTCATGACTGGCCTTAATTTACCTGACCTAGCAGTGGTGGACTGGGGAAGAGGAATGCACTCTGCTCCTGTCTGAACAGGCAATCTTTTAGAGCATATGTTTGAAACAAGTAATAAATAACTCCTTCCATTTTTCATTTATTTTTTTGTCCTTCCCTCCCCTCCTTTTTAAAATTTATTCTTAAGTTCCTGCCTTCTCTCAATACTTGGTATTTTCTGGAGAAAAATGCATTTTGTGATTTATATTCTGTTTATTTCAAACTTTCAAGGACTGGCTGCACCATTATAAAAATTTTTTTCACAATGAACGTAAAAAGACAAAATACATAGAAGACCTTGGCATGCAAGGGGCACATAACGAGAAACTAAACTGAAGATCAAATGTCTCCAACACTTAAAATATGCTATAAGACAGTGTCTCTGAGCCAGGGTCCTGTGGTACCCTGGGGCGCCTTGAGGTCCATTCAGGGATGCCCTGGGGTGTCATACAATGTAAGCACTGTTAGGTGTGCAAACTTGACTCACAATATAAACCCAGAGATGTCAAATATGAACCTATAGCATTAAAAACATTTTTGGCCTCTTATGTTCTTTGAGTTCTCTGCAACAGAAAAACTGCTCTAATATTTTTCTGTAGTCAAAGAATGAGTGAAAACTAAGAGCCAGCATTTTCCAGGTAACCCACGCCTAACAAGGGGGTGTTTCAAGTTTGAAAAAGGTCAAGAACCACTGCTGTAATGTTTATGCAAGCTGTGATGTGAAAATCTCCCTTTAAAATAGATATTTAAAAGCAAGTAAGACATAAAAAGGAAAAATAGGACAATTAAGTAATAAAGATGACAGAAACACAGCTATTTCTAAACAGCCCGTAAGGAAGTACTTTAAAAGTTTGCAGTAGATAAATCTCAACATTTAGACAGTTGCAACGTTACAGCGTCTCAGATTGTAAGGAAATTGATTCAGAAAAGGAATTAGAGCAGCCATTCTTTAAAGAAAAATAAAGGTTGGGGCCTGGCATTCAGTTTCTTGTAAGTCAAATTTCTCTCTCAAAATAACTGACCAGTTACTGAGAGAAAAATCACAAAGGCTATAAAATGATGTAGCATGCAAAGTTAACAGCATAAAGGAAAAGATCTTGTTGAACAAATCTGATTTTTTTTTTTACAGCTTTTTTAAATTAGTAGATGTGAGGAAGGTGATATATGTAAATAACTTCATTTGAGCCAAGAGCTTTATCTTATGAAAACCTGGACACCAATTTTGGTTTGTAGTCGAGTTGTAGTTGCTGGACTGTAGTACTTGTGATGATCCAAGAAATGTCTAAGAATGGTTGGGGTTTTTTTGTTTTGTTTTTTGGTGATATCTCTAATTAGAATAACTGTATAGCTGAAAGAGAAGTTTGACAAGCTTTCAGGCACAAACTACCTTTTCTCAGGTCAGTGTTGGTTTGCACTGAAAACTGCCTGAAGGACCATTAAGAAACAAAGAGATAGATTTTAAAAAACTGAGCTGGATGAGTATGTCACTTGGGTAGTTGTTAAGTTTGTTTTTAATGTATCCATCCATGATCTGGAGGGGAGAGTAGACAACTTATAACTAGTTACATTAGAAATATTAGTAAAATTGATCAAGACAAAACAGAACTGTAGGCCGAAAATTATAAAATTAAGTTTTCCTTTTTCAAAATGCAATTGAATCTACTTGGAAAAAAAATGTAATCTGATACACATGTACTCTCTCCCTAGGGCTATGCACAGACAGTCAAAAAGCCCAAGGCTGAATCGATTCAGTCTTTGCAGGTTAGTCTAAGCTGCATAGATTAAATGGAAATGCAAGTAAACAAGATATTTACCTGTGATTCAGAAAATGCAGCCACATGCCTGCAGTGGTTCAGACAAGAAGCCAGAGGGCAATACAGCATGGTTCTCTGGCTGTGTATTCACTTCTTCTTCCTGCTGCCCTGAAGTCTCAGGGATTTGCAGTCCAGAATTACAACAGCAGGATTCTGCAGGGCTGCTTATCATTTCCTCTTCCTGCTTCCAGGTGCCTCTGGGATTTGTAATCCACAGTTGCAGTCAGCAGTAAGTCTGAGTGGGGGAAGAGGTGTTTAACCCCTCTCCCTCACCTAAGACCCCAGCTGGGGTTTGCCTGAGGGGGCAGTCCCCATTTTGCAGACTGGGTTGTATCCACAGCTGGGCTTGTTGGCTCCCCCTTCCCTCCCCCTGCCATTGTCAGCCAGTCCTCACTACTCCAGCTAGGGAGCAGAGGGGTGGGGTCAACCCTGCTATCTGTAGCAGACAGTACAGCACAGCCCAGGGTTGAAAATCATGCTGGGATGCTGGGGGACTGATTTAACTTGAACCAGGAAGGGGTCTGGGACAGAAATAAAAAGGTTTGACCCAAATCATTTAAGTCATTAAAGTCTGATATTGCATTCAACCAGGTTCATCGTAAACCAGTTTCAGCCATTTTGAAACTGGTTTATATGCACTGAACTTATTTTCTGTTACAGGTTTAAACCCATTTCTAATCACTTAAAGGAGTTTGTGTGTAACTTCTTTAGCTAGCATAGGAGACATCGAAAGCAGCAATAAGAGAAGGCCACCGGGTATTAATTTGCAATGTGATATGGTATCAAGAAAAAAAAATAGGGGCCTACATCATTTGGGCTGAATATGTAAAGCAACAGAGTACCACAAAGTCCCGAAGCCTAAAAAAAATTACTGTGATCAACAGGAAAAATACCTCTTTCTCTCCCACCCCCAAAAAAATTACAAAAGGACTTAATGTCAGCCAGTTAAACTCATCCTGCATGGTTGGAATAATAAACTGTCCCTGCATCTGGAATATAGCTTTCTGCCATGGGCTCAGGATTACAGAAAAGTTATTGATATAGGTATAGATTAGGGAATTTGGAGAAGAGAAGCAAGGTGTGGAACAGGTGTCTCAGGAGAAAAGCTTGCAAAGAAAGGCTCCTAAAGGGGAAAGGAGGGGTTTCAAAACATTGAACAAAACTTTAAAAGGTGCAAATACCGGGGAAGGAAAGGAAATAAGACTGGAACAAGGAAATTCAGGTGGGAGTAATTAAGTGAAAAGGTAGGCTGTGTATTAGGAAATCATCTCCAGCTAGGGAGCAGAGGGGTGGGGCCAACCCTGCTATCTGTAGCAGACAGTACAGCACAGCCCAGGGCTGAAAATCATGCTGGGATGCTGGGGGACTGATTTAACTTGAACCAGGAAGGGTGTCTGGGGCAGAAATTTCATAAAAAGTTTTGACCCAAATCATTTAAGTCTGATATTGCATTCAACCAGGTTCATCTTAAACCAGTTTCAGACAAAAAAGTGATGCTTTTAAAACAAGATTGCAAGTAGACTCAAAGACTATATATAATTTAGAAGAATAACAAATTTCTGGTCTGTCAACCACAGCCATGGGTAACTGGGATATACCTGTCTTATTCATGATATCAGTGGTTTCTAACATCATATTGGCATCTAGACATTTACTTTGCTTTGAAAAACAAATAAATAAAACAAAACAAATAACTTTTTTTCTTACACTTAAAATTAATTCCAGATGAAATATTCTTCATCCCACTTTCACTTCGTTGTTATAATGTACTAAATGTTGTTTATAATGACAGAGCACAATCTAAACTATTCGGGATGTACAAATGATCCAAAGAGTCAATTTTCTGTTAAAGAATTTTCTGTCAATAAAATTTGGCCAAAGAATATTTTAAACAGAATAACTTTGAAGACTAACTTTGCCTTGAAGAGTCTGGATTAAAAAGAATAAAATGTACTAGACACATTTTTGAGGCACTGATGATATTCAATAACTATTAGGATTCTGACCCATCATGTTTGTATCAAAGTGTGTTTTGAGACACTTAAAAAATAGACTATTATGTAAAAATAATATGCCATAAAACTCTGGGCTTCAAGATGAACAAGATTTATGAGCCAAAATATCAGGCTTAGGGGTGATCTGATGGCCACCTACAAGTTTATCAGGGGTGACCACCAGGATCTGGGGGAACGTTTGTCCACCAGAGCACCCCAAAGGATGACGAGGTCAAACAGTCATAAACTACTGCACGTCCGTTTCAGGCCGGACATAAGTAAGAATTTCTTTACTGTCCGAGCCCGCAAGGTCTGGAATGGTCTGCCATCAGAGGTGGTTCAAGCACCTACACTGAACACCTTCAAGAGCAACTGGATGCTTATCTTGCTGGGATCCTATGACCCCAGCTGACTTCCTGCCCTTTTGGGTGGGGGGCTGGACTCGATGATCTTCCGAGGTCCCTTCCAGCCCTAACGTCTATGAAAAAACATCTATGAAAAAAAAAACTTAGCAAGTGTAATCAAAGGTCATTGGAATGGAATATGTTTTCAACAGCCACTCTTTTATTTTAGTGATTCTCCTCCATCTAATCAGCACTTTGACAGAAATAATTATAGCCTAGACAGCTCCTAAGTTTGCCCTATCTGTGCCGCTTTCCAGTTAGTGCTGATTTGTATTCTGTGCTATTTTATCAACACATTATTGGGCAACTGGAGCTATAAGTAAGATGTTGATCAGTTAAACTGTTCCAAACATTTAATCCATCTATGCATCAAGTTCTATATCCTACCTCAATCCTGGGATGCAACAAAGGGAAAGAAAAAAAATTCTGTCTTTTCTTACATAATTCTCTCTTTTGTGCCTTCATATTTTAGTAGTTTATTTTGGTGGGGGAAGGCTAAAAACCATTTATTCCAAAAGCCTAATCCAGGCTAATTTCATTTTTCTATTTGGTCATTAACCTGTCTGCAACCAGTGAGATCAGGGTTTCCAACCTAAGAACATTTTTATTTTATTGACAACCTGCAAACTTTTTACTGACAACAAAATTTGTTTACTGATTTATATTTTACATATTGTAAATGTAAACCTTCTGCCAGACTCTGGACAAGGACTGTGTTTAAACCATAGCAAAAAAGTTTGGTTGTCAGTAAAAAGTTTGCATATTATCAGTACGAAAAAATGTATTGGGTTGGCAACCTTACTTGACTGCAACAATGGTTTTACAATATACTGTCTCCACCCCAGGGGTCCCTACTGACCTCCACACCTCTGTATCCCTGACTACATCCATGCTGTCTCCCAGCCTTCTCCCTGCAGCCCCACGACAGACCCCCAAAGAAGAACCATTGTCTGCCACCCAGCAGTGTTACAGGCAGATGGGAGGCAGTACCAGCACTAGCATGGATAGGGGTTGAGGAAGAAGACATAAAGCCCTGAGAAGAATGGCCTTCAGGGTCTGTGCTTCAACATTGCATCCAGCTTATTTTCCAACCACAGAGCCTTAATCAGCTCTGTGGTTTTATGGAGCTGATTTTACAGAGCTGTTTTTGCTTCATGTGCTTACAGGGACACAATCTTTTCATGAAGTATATGGACAGGCATTTTCAGCCTGGTTATTTATGGAGTGTCTGTAAATTTATGGACAGTTGGCAACCCTGACTGAAATGGTTCAGATTTTTAATGGCTAGAATTATACTTTATAATCAGATTATTTTTGAAAATACAATGAAAACAATTTTAAGATGTGCTCCTAATAAGAAGTCTTCTGTCTCAAGTGACCGCTTAATATCGTCCAAAAGATACAGTTTTGTTCCTACTTTTTCCCTAAAGTGACCCATAATTGGCTATAAATTTTAGTGGTTCCTGAAATCACTGAAGACACATTTGGCTATTTTTCTCTCCCAGCTCAAATGCATAAATACATATTATACACTTTATACATATTGTACTTTCCATCCAAATACCCTAATGCACTTTCCAAATATTAATTAAGGCTCATAATACCTCCAGGAGGAAGTTGCTATCAATCCTATTTTACAGGTGGAGAACCCATGGTAGTTTCTGAGTTCAGAGACTAAAATGCTGAAGATTATAGAAAAAAATTGCAGGAGATGCAAAAATAAAACAGGAACCACTCATGGTCTGACTCATATGCACTACTTCCTTCCCTGCTTCATAGGAAGTATGTTATATGCTGAATGTGTATATGGAACTGTAATGGCAATTCTCCATGCTGAAATAATCACTTATTGCTGGGTCAATATGCTCAGATCAATGTCTTAGGCAAGCTTCTCAAAAATAAAAAAAATAAAATCTTCCCAGAGTGCCCTTTAATCTCAATCCTTCCAGTCTAAATTACTACTGCTGCAGGAGCCTCTGCCAAGCCAGGGAAAAAGAAAAAGAGATCACAGCCAGTAGTCAGTGAGCATTCATGCTTCATGTGCAGCATGTGCAGTGTTACTTTTGCTTCTCTTCCAGAGGAGGCAGAAACTACTATCATCTTATTTCCTCACTTACAATACTCCCCCTTCCCCCCAATTCTAGACACTGAATTTCAGAAAAAAGTTGGTGTTGCATGCCAGAAAATATGGCAATCTTGTACTGGAGAAATACATTTGGGATTCATTAGAAATGCATAAATTAGGGAGTGTAAGTGACAACTCCCAAAGCCTCAACCAAGACCCACTTCCTGCTCCCTCCCCCCACCCTCAAATTTTTGGTTTGAGCAGGTACCAGGTAACTTGAGAGTAATTGTTTCAGTACAAAGATCATACAAATATTATCTGTGATCACAACATCTATATGCATATTTGAACCAAATTTGCTGTTTTCTTAGCAAGCATACACACACTCCAGGTTATCCAGACATATCCTTCATTATTAACAAAACACCTCTTGTCTCTAACTCCAGAAAAATCTGGCTAGATTTAAAGCCTTTTTTCCAAGTAGTCATGCCTTCTGATAAATCAATCTGATCCTTTTAACTTCATCAGAATCCACCAGTAAGGCATAACAAGCCTTTAGAATCAGAGGTGGATAACACCCTAAAATCCTCCCAGGGAATTTAAAGTTTCTGAAGCCAAAAGTATAACCCTCGGGAACTCAAACTCTTGGAAAATTTAGTAGCTGAAACCAACAGAGATTTGTTTCTCAGAAAACAGTGCCAAATATTTCTAGAATGCTAGAAAAGGCATTTTCATTTTATGGCAAAAAAGAGAGAGAGAGAGATGTTTTCCCAGCTGGCAAAGATGTACAGTCATCCTGACAACAATTTAATTTGTCAGGGTCTGTAAGGCTATTGGATTCTTCCCAGGTTAGATTGTTGGAAATTAATTACTACTAATAGCTTACATACATGGCATGTGGATCCGCAGGGTACTGCGATTTCCTGGATTACATTCAGACTGTATGTACATACATGAATTGTTCTTTTCCTTTCTAAATCATCTTTTAGTTGACAGAAAACTGACATATTGGCACCAGCCATACATTATGATTAGACAAGGTTTCCCTTCCCTCTCCCTAACTTTCTCATAACAAATGCAATCTTAAACTCAGTCTGAGCCAGATGCTATTTATCATGCAAACTCTTGGCACAGTATTTGGTAATAACTAACACACTGAAAGGTTTTCTTAATAATCACCAGGTTGCCCTTCACGATTCAATAAAAGACACTTAATACCCATTTTGATTGCAACATAACAAGCCAAAAGCCCAATTGCTGGGACCTGAAGTAGTGTATTAAATTAGAGACATTTAAAGTGTGAAGTAAAATATATACAATTAACAGTACTCCAAGAAAACATCATCATCAATTAATCTGTGCAAGCAGTTAGTCTCTGATATATTAAAAGCTTCATACTAGGTAGGATGGACACTTGCATGCATGCACTCAATTAGTGAAAAAGGCATTTAATGCTTGCCTTTGCTTTCAAATCAAAAGATTTTTTTTTAGCCTTGCAGTTTAATTTTTTCCCATTAAACATAGCTTTTCCTACAGAATGACAACTACTATGAAAACTCTGCGATTTAAAATGTGAAAATCAAATCATCAAGCACTAGTAAAAGTCTAATAAATTCTTTTGTGTGTTATATTATATCTGCTTTATTACTTGAAGCATGTAAAGAAAGTAATGTAAGATTAGCATTTTTATGTCAAGTTTACGCAAGAGTGTATTGTTTTTAAATATCCTCTTTCCAAACGGAGGAAACACAAAAATACACACTTAAATTTGTATTAATCAGAAGTTTGGTATATTAAACACACACACACACACACACACACACACACACACACACACACACACACACACACACACACACACA